AACTTCCTGTTATCAGGCAAAGAGGCAGCTCGAACTTACTTCTCTCTCTCTCTCTCTCTCTCTCTCTCTCTCTCTCTCTCTCTCTCTCTCTCTCTCTCTCTCTCTCTCTCTCTCTCTCTCTCTCTCTCTCTCTCCTGAGGTCCATGACGTCATTCGGGTGTGAACGTTTGAGCCTCGAACTCATGGGCATGAGAGACGTTTAGGTAGTAGGTGGGTGGATGAAGAGGTCCCCGACCCTATCTGAGGAGGAGCCGCTCGCTGACTGAGACGACTTTTCCCTATGGCCACACCGCCCTTAATTTTCCCATGGGCATTATTCACCATCCGCTCCTGTGCAGAAGACATATTACCTGCAAAAACAGCAGACATATCAGTACATGAAGGAAAAAACATCTCAAATGAAATAAGAAGAAGCAGAAAGCTACCCAAGAGCCCCTGCGCGAGTGCTGCTCTCGAGGATTTCTTTTGTGTTGATATACCGGGCCTCCACCTAGGGCCCCCATCTTCCTCATAGATTATCTTCCCAGCACGAGTCGCGCATTGGGTGGGGAGAAAACCATCCACAAAGGTCACCAGCTTTGGCATAGTTGGCACGACCATCGTCCCCCAACTGGTGAGAAGTGACTATATATTCATCGATTGAGCGGGTGAAATGGGCCCCACTCCAGCAGAAGGGAAACTGGAACAGTCTCCGGGAAACTATCTTACCATCCTCATATATCAAATCCTCCTCGTTCTCATCCATAGAGACCTCCCAGACGAAGGTCGAGTCGGTGGCCTTCTCCGACACGAGCTCGATCACGTAGAACCTTTTCTTGAAAGTCCGGATAGACTAAGAGAAGGGTTTGAACAGTTTCCTCCCCTGCTTTACAGAGACCCAGCCAAATTTCCTCCCCGACACCTGTCGCTGAAGGTGGAAGATGGTGAATAAAAACGGGAGAGTGACCCTAATCTTCATATATTCGCACACTAGCTTGTATGCCTGCATGAAGGAAATCGAATTTGGATGTAGCTAGGAAGGTGCTAGGTCCAAGTGTACAAAGACTACCCGCTGGAAATATGTGAAGGGCGACCTCAGCCCTATCTCCTTGAAGATGTACTTGTACATGGGAAACCTTTCCTCATAAGACGAGCAGATGCGATCATCCTCCATAGGGAAGTCGACCCTTCGCTCTCCCTCGACCCCCATTATGGTGAAAACATCCTCGGTATAAGAGGCAAAGAGTAAGGTGTGCTCCATCGATTCGGCCACAGACCACTCTTCAGCAGAGGTCCTCACAGCGGATACCCCTCCAGCATCAGGAGGCGTGGAAGCATCATTAGTTTCAGTTTCCTCCGAGGAGCTCTCCACAGATAGGTCTCTAAGAGGTTCTTCTTCAGCCCTGTGCAACATTTCCTTTACCTGAAAAGCAGAGGATAAAAGTGAATTTGATGACAGAATAAAATCCACTCTTCCACTGCTAGTCAAGTGAAAGAGCATACGAAAGGCCGAAGACAGCGTCCCCGACCTAAGCCCTACTCAAATGGCACAACTAACAAACGAGGAAATGCCCGGGAGATCTCCCTGACACGTCCTGGGAAAATTCCCCGTGCACAAAACCTAGAACCTTCAAGAGGAAACCATCGGAAAGCTCATAAGCACACAAAAATCTGTGGTTCCCTCAGGCGACGAATGCCACTGTGTTGCTACGATACTAGGATCAACTAAAAGCTTACAAGTTTCTAAGTCCTAAATTCATGACAGTCACTACGGCACCGGCAGCATAAAAAGTGGCCAAACCACCATCTGCCACCAACAGCCACCAAAAAACGTGTTAAAACTACTTCGTAGCAACCCTAACCGCATGCAATCTAAGGTACATAAATCAGAAAAACAAACAACAAGCAAGGAATGAGCATACTTACGTGGTCATGGACGAAGTTTCTAGGTTTAAATGGCTCTGAACGGTGCTTGTACGGTGGTCAGACGGAGATTGACGGTGGCGAACGACAGGGAATAGAGGACAAAAGACAAAGGAAGAGAGAGAAGCGAAAAGTGCAAATGAGCGAACTCTCACTCTATTTATAGGTAATTCCAGGCACGTGCAAGAGCACATTTGGCTAAGGGCATCATCATGACCCTAGCCTAGCCATCATTACGCATTAAATGTGGCACACGACTCGAGGCACACGTGGCACTCCCACTTTTCACATCCCATCAAACGTTGGTCTCCTCATACCTCGAGCTCTTCAACCAATAGCGTAACAGATGCCCGAGCACATATTTCGTCGAGCAGAAGGTAACAACTCCATTTCTGCAGCTAGCGACGACCTTTCCCGAAAAGAGGACTATCCTTAAGTCATCACTCCCATGCTCGGAAACAACGACTTGGGAGGCTACTGTTCCGGACTGGCCCAATGGCTGGGGATGGCCCAATCCACTTCTGCTCCTAGAACGACTCAATTGCCTAAATCCACCCAATATAGGGGGAGCATTTACCTTTATGCCCCTCCAACAGGGGAGGCTGACCAATTTACCCTTGGTCACAACATTTCTCCTCGGCACTCGTTGCCCGTCATGCACAGTTCCACCATCCAAAAACAACCAAGACGCTTGTGCTCGTAACTACGCCCCTGCCCGTAACAATGGCTAGTTATGGGCACCTCTGCCCGTTCCAACGGCTAGTTCTGGTAGTTACCTATTCTCTGGGAAACGGTTATACCGCCCCAAAAATAGGGACCAATGGTCAAGCATTGGGGGCACTATAAAAATCATCTCACTTGAGAGGGTCAGGTATCCAATATTCACCCTGATATACTCATATTCTGTACTTGCTCTCTCTCTCTCTCTCTTGTCCGATTCTTACTTTAGCATCGGAGTGCCTTGCAGGTACACCCTCTCCTCCTCTCTCACACCCAGCATCACAGGCGTTTGTCTCTGGCCCACTACAGGTTCTGATCAGCCATCAAGATTAATAACTATATCTAATTTTGGAAGAAGACCAAAAATCTAACCAGTAGGATTTCCAAACGCATCATTAAAAATGATTTGATTACGCATTAGACTTAGAACTGAATTTGATAAGTTTTAAGAACCACCCCAACATGGGTTCAGTTAAAGTATCTCCTTCACAACCCTCAATTCCCACCCAATCTACGATCTTCCTCCAAACCAAAGTTATCAGACAAGAACAAAAGAGATGGTCATTATCTTTCTCTATATTAAAACATAACACACATGCTATATCATGCGGATTTGAGATTATTCCCATGGCCGCTAGATTCAATCTTGTCGGTAGCCTATCCAACAACATCTTCCAGCAAAAATTTCTCGCTTTTAATGGAATTTTTGTCTGCATAATAGTTCTAAAATAGCCTTGAGTTTATCTCCAATTCTGGAACTGTACTCGCATTCGACAATGCAATGTAACTAGATTTAACAATGAAAAGAATCACAGCCCTTCCAAGTGAAAAGATCCTTGGCTTCCTGCACCGGCCTAACCTCCACAAGCAATTTCATTAAATATGAAAATTTCTCAAGTAGATTACCCATCAAATCTTGATCCCTAAATTGCAGATTCCAAATCCAAACTCCCCCTCCCAGAACCTCATATCCATAACAGAATCATTTTTCAATACAGGCATGGAGTCAAGATCCTGAAACGCATACCTTAATGTTTTATGACACAACCAACACAGATGTCAAAAGGATACACGACTAGCATCACCAATCTTGCATGAGACTTGTCTCATAAAACTCCCATCCTCCAAAGAATTACCTATACTCATCAAATCTCTCCACCATTGAGATTCCAATGACTTGGCTCTATGAACCTTCTTCACCATAATTCTATTAATTAAACACCCATACGTTAATTCAAGTAAACCTTTCCATAGAGCATTGGATTCATTAATGTATATCCATAGCCACTTAGTTTGCAGGGCCATGTTGAAACACACCAAATCCTTTATTCCTATGTCACCCTTGCTTTTAGGCAAGCATAACTTTTTCCAACTTACCCAAGCAATATTATACTTATCATAATTTTTAACCCATAAAAATTGCCTCTATATAGCAATCAACATTTTAACAGCCTTTGAGGGAACTTTAAAAAATGAAAAGTAATGTATAGGAATGTTGGTTAAAGTAGAGTTTATCAATGTAACTCTACCACCAAATGACAACATCCTCCCCTTCCAACTTGATAGCTTTGATCTAAAGCATTTCAAAACCAGTTTCCAAAACTCAACATTTTTATGTCCCCCCCCCCCCAACAATACCCAGGAATGTGAAAGGTAGCGTACCTATTCTACATGTCAAGAAACTAGATGCAGCAGATAGGAAGGAATCCTCCAAACCAATTCCAAATAGACAACTTTTGCAAAAGTTGATTTTTAAGCCCGAGATTAGTTCAAATCCCCTCAGAAAAGATTTTATTCCCCAAATATCTTACCACGAGCCTTCACTAACCAGAACTGTGTCATCCGCAAATTAAACAAGGATTAGAGAGTCCTCCTCATTGATGTGAAAGCCATTAAATATCTTCTTATGTCTAGTTTTTCTAACCAGCATTTCCAAGCCCTCAGCTACAAGTGCTAATAGGAAAGGTGAAAAGGGGTCACCTTGCCTTAGACCCCTTTAAGCCTTGAAGTCTCTCATAGTTCCTCCATTAACCAAGACTAGCAGATGACAATTGAGAGCCCCTCCTAATCCACTTACGTCATTTAGTGCAGAAGTTCATTTCAATCAATACTTCTTCAAGAAAGGCTCACTTCACGCAATCGTGCACTTGAGAGAAATCTACCTTTAACATCAAACAACTTCTCTTACATCTATTTGCAAGGTCAAGAATTTCATTGGTAAGTAAAACTCCATCCATCATTTGGCGTCTAGGTATAAATGCAGTTTCTGAACCAGACACCAATCTTCCAACTACCTTGCTCAGTCTATCACCCATTAGTTTGGAAATCAGTTTATAAATGCACCCTAACAAGCTATCAGGCCTATATTCATCCAAATCCTAAGGGTTATCATTCTTAGGGATAAGCGCAATAAAAGGTGAAACCAAAGCTTTTAGAAGATTACCAAACTGATGGAAATGGTTGAAAACATTCATCAGGTCACTTCTAACAACTGCCCAATAATGTTTTAAGAACTCTAAATCAAATTCGTCTGGCTCGGGGCTCTTGTTCCCTGCACTAATTGATAAAGCCCCTACAATTTCCTCAGTAGAAAAAGGTGCAACCAATAGTTCATTTTCTTCGTTTGATAATTTAGTTAAATCAGACATGTCAAGACGCAAACCTGAGCTTTCCACCTTTTTGAATTTTGATTCAAAGAACTCCCTGATACTACCTTTTGTCAATTCAACATCCTCGAACATAACATCTCCAACTTTTATAAAAGACATGTTGTTTCTCCTGCATCTCATTATGAGGATTGAATGGAAATACCTTGAGTTTAAATCCCCCTCTTTCACCCATTTGGTTCTAGCTTTTTGCTTTAGCATGCTTTCTTTAAGTTTCATGTTACTCCATATCTTTCCTTGTGCCTCACTTCTCACCCTTATTAACTTCTCAGACATGTTCCCTATAATGATATCCATCCCATCCTCAATTTCATTGAGAACTTGGACACCCTCTTCAATACGACGATCAACCCAGCCAAAGATGTTTTTGTTCCACCATCTGAGCTTGTTTCTAAGAGATTTGAACTTATCTACTAAGATATGAGAAGGGCTTCCCTCAAACATAGCAGAATTCCACAATTCATTAACAAACTCTATGAACTTAGGATTTTCATACCAGCAATTGAAGATTTTGAAGGGTTTTTTTACCCCAATTGGCCAAATTACATTTCAACCACACTGGCCTATGGTTTGAAATGTCCTTTGACCCAATCGATTGAGCCACCACACCCACGCACGTACCATTTGACTAAAGGTGGAACTTTTGGATTAACAACCAACTTCTTGATCAAGAAATCCCAATACTATGCTGATCATATGAGCATGAATACATTTGAGGCAATCCTCGCCCTACTTATCTATGGAGTGTTCCTGTTCCCAAATTTTGAAGGATTTGTTGACCTTAACGCCATCAAAGCTTTCATGAAGAACAATTTGGTACCAACTTTACTAGTTGGCGCTTACCATTCTGTGCATCTCCAAAATTTTCATGGTGGAGGGATGATTACTTGTTGTGCGCCTTTATTGTACAAGTGGTTTATTTCGCACTTGCCCAAATCTAACTCTTTTTGAGATCTCCATAAAGGACATTGGTCACAAAAGCTTATGGCTCTGACTCACTCGGATATCGATTGGTATAACCGTGTATATGATGGGATATTAATTATTGACAGTTGTGGAGACTTTGCCAATGTACCTCTCCTTAGCATTAAGGGAGGAATCAGTTAGAATCCTGTTCTAGCTCGCCGACAGTTAGGATATCCGCTGAAAGATCAGCCCAAGAGTGTTCACATGAAGGGTATTTTCTTTAAGGACAACAAGGAACTTCAAGAGAAGATTGTGGTTGCATGGCGTCACTTACATAGGAAAGGAAAAGAAAGTCTAGGGAAGCCTAATTGTGTTTCTTTAGAACCGTACCTTCAGTGGGTCAGAGATAGAGCTATCAAACTAAAGATTCCTTATCCTCGACAAGAGTCTATGCCTTTGAAAAGGGAACCTGTCTTAATTTTTATGTCTGAAGCTGAAGAACTGAAGATTTCTCTTAGCAAAGCGCAACGGAAGTCAGAAGCATGGAAAAATAAATATCAGGTGGTCATTGAAGAGAATGCTGAACTTCAGAAGCAACTTCAATCGAAGAATGAAGAATCACTTTCTTGCAAGAAGAGAAAAGCACAGGAGGATTTATTTTCCTCTAACCCTTAGACTACCCCTTGGAAGTTGATCGTAGACAAGTTCATCTTCGAGAAGGCCCAGTTGGAAGAGCAAATTAAGGAGCAGAATACAAAACTTCCTTAGGGATTTATTAGCTTTTATTTAGCTGTTATCTTAAGACTCTTTTAAGAATATTTATTTGTAATCCGTTATAAAATAATAAATGAATTTCTTTTGATATACTACAATGTTTACAAATATTGGAATTCCATGAAGCCTTCCATGTTCGCATCTCTGCATTTCCAGAGAAGCTTATCTTTCTTCAACGATAAGTGGCAATCTCTTGGGAAAAGCTTATCTTTCTTCAACAATAAGCGGAAATCTCTTCAGAGAAGCTTATCTTTCTTCAACGATAAGTGGCAATCTCTTGGGAGAAGCTTATCTGTCTTCAGTGATAAGTGGCAATCTCTTCAATAGGAGCTTCAACAAGAGTATGATGAAATCCTTGTGCAGGCGGATATTTACTGGTATCAAAAGGCTAAAGATGATTGGATTAAATTGGGAGATCAAAACATCAATTTGTTTCATACCAAGACGATAATTAGGGGGAAGAGAAATAAAGTCCATGACCTTCATCTTCTCAATGGTATTTGGTGAAATGATGATACTATTCCCAGGGAAGAAGCACTAATATTTTTAAAGGTTTTTTATGCTTTATATCTTCTATATTCCCTGTTAGTATGGTTGACTTAATTATGACTCAGAGCCTTACTGAAGAAGCCCAACTCTCTTTGACTCAACAAGTGATGAGGGAAGAAATTATTTATGAGTTAAATTAAATGCACCCTTTCAAGGCACATGGCCTTGATGGATTCTAAGGTATTTCCTTTGAATAGTTTTGGCATATGGTTGGAGATGACGTTGTTCAACTTATATTATATGCTTTTGTGAAATGTAGCTTTCACTCCTCTCTTTGTCTCTTTGTGAGACTTTTATCACATTAATTCCTAAGGTAGAATTTCCCCAAAATTTTAAGGAATTCAGGCTTATTAGCTTGGGCAACACCATTTACAAGCTTATTACAAATATTATAGTTTAAAGATTGCTTGCTTGTCTAAATCAGATAGTTGGACCCTTCTAAGTAGTTTTTTTTTCACGGTAAAGGTACAACTAATAATTCCATTATCCTCCAAGAAGAAATTCATTATATGCGTAAATCTAAAAAGAAAAAAGCTAACATGATGTTCAAAATAGAACTTGAAAAGGCCTATGATCATGTTAATTGGATTTTCTTGGAATTTTGTTTGAAGCAAAACTGCTTTCCTCCCATTACTATAAAGTTGATCATGCATTATGTAACTAGCTCCTCTATGTCTATTTTTTGGAATGGGAGACAAATACCAAATTTTGTTTTGAATAGAGGATTATAGCAACGTGACCTCCTTTCACCATATCTCTTTGTTATTTGCATGGAATTATTATCTCAGACAACCATCAGGATAATCGATGAAGGCCATTGGAAACTTGTCAAGTTATCTCATAATGGACCCCCTCTATTGCATTTATTTTTTACTGATGATGTTCTTCTTTTTAAGAAGGTTTCTAACTTCTAAGTAGGGATCATTCACGATATCTTGAATTGTTTTGCCATGTTTTCTGGCCTTAAAGTGAATATTTCTAAATCAAATGTGTTATTCTCCACTACCACTAAGAGGAGTAAAATGGATTTAATTGTCTCCAACATATGTATCAAACAAACTCTTATTATAGAGATGTGCTTGGGTTTTCCTATGTTGCATGGTCATCTTCAATGCAATGAATTTGAGTTCCTAGAGGAGAAAATTAGTCAGAGGTTATAATATTGGAAACATAAATTGTTAAAAAAGGTTGGTCGTTTGACTCTAGTTAAGTTCGTCCTGAACTCCATTCCAAATAAATATATGCATGTCGCTTGGCTACCTCAGCCAACTTGTAATTTTATTGATAGGATGACTAGGAATTTTTTATCGAAAGGAAATTCAAGCTCTGGTGTGCATCTTATTGGCTAAAATAAAATTACTAAGCCCAAACAGTTGGTTGGTATTAGGATCCGGAAAGCAAGAGAGGCAAATACCTCTATGTTGGGAAAGTTGGTTTAGGATCTCCACCAGGATTACGATTCCATATGGGTTCAAGTTTTTAAGCATAAGCACATCAGTGAGGAAATGTTCCTTAATATGAACAAGAATTTTAGATCAGTTACTTGGAATATAATAATGAAAGCTCTCTCAACTCTTAAAGACAAATTTGAATTTAGATAGGGGATGGGAACTCCTCGTTCTGGTTTTCCAATTGGTCTAGAATAAGGAAATTAGTGGAACAAATTATCTATGTAGATATCTGTTGCAGTGGAAATAGGATCACAAACTATTAATGAGTTTGACTCGCAATTCAATTCACAACCGCTCTTTGATTTATCCGAAGGAAAAGGTTAAAAGAGGGAAAACCTATTTTGCATCGTAAACACAATGCGGGGAAAGATCTAGGGTTCGGGGGTTGATTAAATTTAGGGAAGGTATTAGCACCCTAAACTTCTGTAGTACTCTACAAGAACCTTTTGTTCAGATGTTTACTATTTGCTTTATTTATTTGCTTAAGGTATATGTACAAAGGATTAGAAGTGAGAAAAGAGACCTAAGGGGTTAATTCTAAGTTTACTCGGCAAGACATCGCATCTTGTGCCTACGTATCCTTACGGGAGTGGAATCAGAGTAATCGTAGTTCCCCTCAAAAGGGAGGTTAGAGACTTCTTGACTGTGGTCAAGGTCTCAAGGGGAATAAACGCATCTTAAGGACACGCTTACGTGGAGTGTAGAAACTCCAAATCTCTACGTTGAATTGTTAAGTTGTAATTAGGGTTAAACTAGGTTAGGGATTCCACGGCGGGAAACCCTAAAATGAGCGCGGCGGCTCTTTGACCTAATGCTAGGGGTAAAAAGGTAATTTTGTCCACAGCGAGACATGTGTGAAAATTAGGGTTTGTAGTTTGTAAGGGTTTGAAGTTGAGGACTATTGGCGCGGCGACCAAAAGCTAGACCTAACCTTCGGATGTGCGTAATGTGACAGGAATATTGATGAATGTGTGAGATAATTGAATTATACGAGCAGGGAAATGATGACAGAAATTAAAATCATACACGCAGAAAATAAAAGGCAGAAATTAAAACGCGATTATTAGGGTTCGCGAGGTTACAACCAAGAAGCAGTTACAAAAATAATAACTTAAATAAAACACCACGTAATAGTAGCGAACAGGAGCTGCAAAAGATGAACACCCGTTAGTAAACAAAGTTAGACAGTAATGGGACGGGTCAGGAGAAAAAAAAATGCGATATTGGAAGTTTTTGTTGTTTTGAAAAAGATGTTAAATGAATTTATATAAAAAAGAAAAAGTACTGTTAATTAGAAAAATATTTTAAATTTAATCTTAAAAAAGTTTTATTTTTATATTAAAAATATTTTAAGTTATAAAAAAAAGTTTTATTTTTATTATATGAAAAGAGGTTTTTGTAATTTTCTTATAAAAAAGGTTTTTAAAGTTTTCATTTATTTTTAATATTTACACAAAAAAGGTTTTCAAAACAGTTTTTTTTTATTTATAAAAATAAAATGGTTCTTTTAAAAACAACTTAAAAAACAAAAAGAAAAAAAGTTTTAAAAACAAATTTTCAAAAAAAACAAAAAATAAGAAGGGTTGGGCCGGTCATCACTCCCGGACCCAACCCGGTTAGTGTATATGCATCACAATGTCAATTTAGGGTTTCAGAACCCTTTGATCCCCTTCGCGGCGCCGTTTGCATTCTTCTTCTTCTCTCTCGATTCTCTTCATGATGCATCTCTCCTGAAAGAAATTCAATTTCAAACCGTTAAATATA